TGTTGTGCCCATCACGGGTATCGAAACCCGATTAAAGGGTGTAATCAATCAATGAATGATTAGTTTTGATAGGAACCGCTAGGATACAAAGTGTACGATATAGATATATATGTGTCTCCTAGTGACACAGCAGCAAGTATTCGGACTTATAACGATAGAAACCGGGTTTCGATACCCGTGGTGGGCGGAGTAGAGATAGCTCATTGTGTAGTTTTTGCGCTTCACTTCAAACATATTGTATAATTTCACATAATTTCAGTGATCAGTTTAATATTTCAAACTACGAATGACGTGAGAGCGAAGGGAAAAATATATTCTAACAGCCTATAAGAAAAAAGTATTAGAAGAACTCCGCGCAGCAAGTATATTCCATTTTACTTAGAAATCAGTACGTTTTCAAAATTAACTATAATTTGCCCTAGTTGAAGGAAGAACTAGAATATAAACCGTACGGATTTTCAAACGAAACGGTGCGCGTGTATCGACCAAAGTCTCGTGAAATAATTAACAAAAACTTAAGTGAACATTTCCCAGACATAAGACGGCGCCTTGCTTATCGCCGGCTATCCAAAGGGACACTAATGAACGTCCTTTACCGCAGCCTGTTAGTGTGAGAATACAGTGAGAAGACGGACTTTGTCAACACGGCACTTCGTCATTGAAGAAGACTTATCAAAAGTTGGAGTACACAGTGCCCTTCTTTTACGACAAAAAGACCATCTGAACACTTTTAGTGTCTAACCAATTGCCGCCTAATCTTAACGTGTTGATTTCTATTGCTTAATCTAAATTAGGTTTTAGTTTTGTTATAAAAGTAACGTCTGTCAGGATTTGTATGTTAACAAAAATGGATTGTTTCGGTACGTTTCTTGTGTTCATACGTGTATATTTTTGGTAATTAAACTGATTTTGTTCGTACATGTATCTGGCAACTAAATTCTTAAATTTTCTTTGAGAACAATATCTACAGTTTGCAGTTTTCTGTTAAACGGTTTTCGGACTTACAACGCTAGAATCCGGTGCTCGACTCCCCACAGTGTACAGAGCGCAGATAGCCCATTGCACTAAACAACAATAATTCCTAATTGGTGTTCTTTAACACT